CTAAAAGTCGCATTACTAGGGAGGTATCGGGTTACAGAACGTGTTCGAACGTGGCCGCGCGGGAGTCCCAGGCCGGCCCGGGGGCAAAGGGTAAAATTTGAAAATAAACAAAAGTAATTGGAGAGTAAATACTCGACAAAATAAAATGTAATAAGTGATTTTGTTTACCTAAAATGTTATTCTTGCACTGCCTTTGCTACACTTTGTCTACATTTGCTTCCAAATGAGATCAATTTCGGATTTCAAAAAGGGTTCACGAGAACCAAACAACTGATTTTAAGAGGCCCCGAAAATTAAAAATAAGGTTAGATTTTTGGATTTTTAGAAATATTACAGTAAATTTAAACTTTCTGTCTTAGGATTTTTTTATTTTTTAACCAAAACTCGACTTACAGTCAAAAGAAGAGCTAAAAATGCAGTGTTTTAACTTTAAATACCGATAATTCATAATCGCGGCCATATTTTAAAAATCCCTAAGACAGAAATCTGCGGAAATCGTTCCTCTTCCAAACAAGCCCTCAATGAGGTAATTTGAGCAATTTTTGGGAGTGGTTAAAATACCATGTTTGCACGCGTGCTATGACGTGTCGATCGGTGTAATATAGCCAGCTGCCGCCGCGCCGCGTGCCTGCGAAGCTGGTCTGTTACGCCGAAAGGCGGTTATACCGGCTATACAGATACAGACAGATACAGACACTTGGATATGGGGACCTGGATTTTATAACAGCAAGACTTCTGACCTTCAAGGTCACCCACGGTGACGGCAGTAGCTTCGTTACATGTTACATATCCACAATAAAATCACGGCATAGATGTAATGTTTTGAAAACGGTTCATATTTGTGGAAAGGTGGATTTTTCCTGTTCCGTGGTTCCCAAGTAAAAAACGGCTTGAAGTAGCCGGTTGTAGCGGCTTTACTTTAAATGACCGCGGGTAACCCCAGATCGAACACCCGCTCTATTCGAATGACGTCATATCGAACAAGATTCGCGGGTTCGGGGGATTCGATCTCCATAGTAGCGGAGTGGGACTTTTGGGCCCAAATCTGACCATCGTGGGTAACTTTCCAAGTCCACTATTGAAAGTGAAAGTCAAGTTTAAAAGAGTTAATTCTGTACTTACAACATTTGCAAACATGGATACATTGTACGAAAAATTTTGTCACATTAGTAGTAAAGTTTTAAAAAATAAATTCTGTACTTAAAACATTTGCAAACATGGATACATTGTACGAAGTGACAATGAGCTATACCTGTCTGCCATAGCTAATTTACATGACAATAGCTTGACTACAGATGTACTTACATTCTTGTCAGGTAACTTTCGAGGTCTTACTGAAAATGAAATAAAAATTTTAAAAAATAATATTTGCAAACAGATCTACGATTTTTTTAATGTTTCCGTACCTCCATTGTCGACGCTTTCACTGAGCCCGCTGTTCATTTGTCGGCTTCGCTGGAGCTGTCATCGGCAGACTCCTCGGCGTCTTCTTGTCGGGCCGGGGCGGCGCTGTCCCTGATCACCGCAGGTCTGGAGCTGGGGCGATCGCGGAGGAACGCATCCATCTCGTTGTAGAACGGGCAGGTGATGCGATCCCTCCCGCTCCTTGAGTTGTGGTCCCTCGTTGTTCTGTACTTTAGCTTCAAGGCCTTGGTCTTGGAGCGGAACTGGGCGGATGTCCTGTTGAACCCCGTTCAATTTTTCGGTGCATACCTTATCTTAGATATCTTATATGATTACTGAGCCATGGTCCCGCGAGGGACATCATGCTCAGGGACTAGGAGGTGCAGACCCAAGCGCGGCCGGTGGTGCTGGTGGTGCGTACAGAAAAGAAAAAAAGACGATACAAAAAACAAACTTGTGATGGGCTAATCCCACAAAATAGTGCAAAAAGTGATAACAACAACAAAATGAAAAATGTGATTGGCCACACTTGGGAAGGTACGTAACTAACTCTGGGTGGGGGGAAGGCCCAAATGTTGAGCCAGCCATACCGTCCAGTTATTAAATTTCCTTGGATCTCCCCAGCTCCCCAGATCGATATGAGGACTCCCGTTTCCTCAGTCGACCAGTTGGAACTCGAGTTGGACGGCATAGCGAGATTTTGCGTTTAGAAAAGCGACCAAAAAGAATAAAGTGGCGTTTAAAACACGCCTCGGCGACGTGATTCACTTTTGATGTGAGTGATGATCATGGTTATTGTTAATGGAGATGCTTGTTTTAGTACGTGAGCCAGTCATAAGTTTCTCACGAGGATTTACTAACAAATATACTCTTAACTTGAGAGATATTTTTCCATTTCCTCATGAATTATGCAAATTAGGACCGGGTTTGAATAAATTGTGTTTAGTGATCTTCACCTTTACTGAACTATGGCAACGAAGTATGATAAATACTAAATTCCCGGCAATTACCACTATCACATTGTATAGTTATGAGAGCTAGCGGACGAGCTTTCACGTATCCTGGATGAAGATTTTTCACGGACTTGATAATATGTGTTTGTGCAGCCACGTCATCTTGGCAAATCAGAGCGCGTTACGCCGTGTAAAATGGTAAACATTACCTTGATTTCATTTTATTGACGACACGTTCACAACACCCATTTTTGAACCACTCAATGGTCTGGAGGTCGTGCAAAGAATTGCTCTGTAAAAAGGCAGTGTTTTAAACTTGATATGTCTACGTTAAATTGCCAAAGAAGAGTTTGTAACTACATGTAAAACCGGTATCTCAGGCTAACTAATGCATGTATCATAAACCACCCATTGTACGTGTATATATATATATACGAAGTGTTACGGGCCCTGTCACAGTTCTTCATGACCCCTTTGACGTATGGCCTGTGTATAGTTGTGCATATCCACCCGGAGGGAAATTAAAATAGTGTAATATTCGACCATCTGATTGAAGTGGACATAAAAGAGCATCTGCTGAAAGGCTATCACATGGCTCATTCTGGCGCATTCTAAGCCTCACCAGGCTTCGGGAAGCGGCTGTAAAGAGTAGAATTTGGCCAAATAAAAGGATTACATGCCAGTTGAGTTGTTTCGCTAGAGGGGATTGCTGCTGCAAGAACTTTAATCTTGGTATAAGAATTATTTTCTTGAGGAAAGAAAGGGTTTTCCTGCCATGCAACATGCATTGGAAAACCCATTAAAACTTATCCTGCTGCAAGAAACTTATTCTAGCTTCAAGAAGCCTTTTTAATGTTCTGCTTCAATCTTGGTATGAGAACCGTAGTCTAGGTACAAGAAATGCTATTAAGGAAAGAGTTTCAAGAAACTGATACTACAAAAGCTAAAAGATTCTTCGTGTAAGAACCCGAAATGCTTGCCGCAAGAATGATACTCCTAAAATATTGGTTAATTAGCTGTAGGAAAAAATTCTTAGAATAAGAACAACGTGGGTTTCTTGAATTTTCTTGAAACGGAGATTCTTGTTGAAAGAATAACATTCTTGCTGACAGAAAAATTTCCTTTGCACAAGGAAAAACAAGAACATTTTGGTAGTGTCTAGTTTGCCACACATATATCTCTATTTGGCCCAACTCGCTCTATTTGGCGCTATAATTTTTCCAGCCTGGTAAAGACTAATATAACCTCGGTCGGCAGGTGTGTCGTGGCCTTTCGAGTGGTAAATATGTGCGTCGTGGCCGCCGTGTAAACTGGTAGACTACTCTAGAATTCCTTCCAACATTTTAGGTTCTTATTCTTTTGGAGTGGTTGCAAAAGTGATTAAAGTGAAGATCCTAGAGACCAAACAAATTATAAGAGCGTCAAGGTGTTGAAACAGCAACTCACCAGCTGAGAATTTCAAGGATTCAACGTCTCCATCAGAACATGCAGCATCAACAGACTGAAGTAGCCATTTTCTTCCCTTATTTTGACAGGGCCATTATATACCATTTTTGCACCAAAAATTGAAATATTTCAAATGAAAGAAATCACTTTTTGACGTACGTGTATATTTGTACAGTTTCTGCTCTGGAATTCGGACACCAAAGGAAAAAGGCAAGGAATTTGAATGACGGACACTTTGAAAAGACCGGAAGAGGGGATTCAGTGAGTGGTACTCAAAGCCCTTACCCGTTCCTTTGTTTAAAAAATGGCGGAAGAAAATATTGGCAACATCAGTCTGTTGATGTTGTTGTCGTGGTGACGTTCGGTTCTTAAATTCTCAGGTGGGACAAGTTGTTTTCAACAACTTGACTTTACTCCGTGTGTTTATACCATCTGGCAAACACGGTAATCATTGTTATTGATTGTACACACGGTTGTCACGGCCCCAACATTTTTACTCCTCAAAGCGCCACGACACATGAGCCGATCAAAGACAATACACATATAGTTTAGAACGTGCCTCACTTTATAGTAGAGTGGATATATTTACCTATTTGTACACAATAAGGGTTATTACCTTCTAGAATGAAATTAAATTTATCTATAGCATGAAATGTCACGAATTCTGTTGAGCAAGCGGAGAGAAGGTTGAACAGCTTTGCGCGTTTATCGTTATATAGTGTACAATTCAAAATAAAATGTTGTTCGTCTTCAATATCATTGGGACAGAATGGACAAAACCTCTGGTCGCGAGGGATTTTTTCGTATCTTCCTAATTCTTAATTCAATTTATGGCTAGAAATTCACATCTTTGTAATCGATCTACGAACTTCAAAATTATGTATTTCAGAAAGGTAATTTTCTTATATATGACAGGGCATTGTCGCAAAAGGGACATACCCACAAGCGGATTGCTGATAAGTAGGTCAGGGCTTGACCGCAGCTGACCGTTCTATATATGGCAGCATGATGCAATCTCCTGGACTTCCCTCACTGTCGACTCAGCAATTGTCATTTGAATATTTTATTATATTAACGTGGTATGTGAAGTTGTAACCAATCAGGGGTGTTACACATTATGTCACCCTTGATGACTTATACTCGAGTATAAAACTCGAAACGTAGCCCGTAGAAGATAGTACAGGCGACCACCAGCAAGATAATGCTTCACTTTCCGTACGCGTGAGCCGCTCCCGGGGAGCGGACAGTCTGCCGGGCGAGGACCGGGCCAGATGGGGACCGGGTCAGATGGGGGCCGGGCGCGGCCAGGCCTGTGGGCGGGCGCCGGGACGAGCCGACTCCGAAGGTGAGTTGAAGCCAGTACTGGTAAGTTGTCCTTCTCCGTGGCCAATATGTACCCCGATATAAGAGTACAAGTAAACAATATTTCCACGTGCACCGTTCCTTGTGAGCACACCCGTTAGCCTCCCTGTGCTTGTAGTTTCTTCGGATAAAAATTTCATCTCAATCAGGAAAGAGTTCCATACAAGTTACGTACAAATATCAGACTGGGGGACTTGTACTAAATCGTAGGTCGACAATTACAAAAATTTGAGCGCTTTGACCGACATTTTCTTTTCATAATGTGAGGAGGATATGGTCAACTTATTTACACATTTCGCCCGGCAATTTTTAACATGAAACCGCACTAAATAATTTTGTAAGAATATGTACAATCCGACTGGTTAGAAATCTAGCAGAAACTGCCTTCGTCTTTGTTTTGGATGTGGATTGGGTTGTTTAGCACCGCCGCTTGGTCTCTATACATGTAGATTTCTAAAATCTCGGTTGGTCATGGCTTACGCTGAAGTTAAATGAACCTTTTATTTATCACTATTATTATATTATTCAGCCATTTTTTTTATTTCTTTATATACTCCCATTACAAAAGCATGGTGTTCACGAATTCGATGGCCGCGGCACAGTACAGAAAGTTGAGGGGACCATGGGAAGTGAAGGGGATATGAAGATGCATTGTGTCGCAAGGCATTTAATGTTTTTAGGTCATTGATTTCCGTCGAACGGTCTTTTTTGTTGTATTGACGTTCTGGATTGTCACATGCTACTAATGCCGTAGTCGCTTGTTTTTATTTTGTTTTACGGGGGCTCAGTAGGCTAGTTGTTTGGCCAGGATACGGGGAGGCCAGGAGAACTCGGTAACTCGGAAAACGGGAGAAAGAAAGGTGCTTGCATTGGTACATCGGCACCGGTCTTATGCACTATACTTCATATGTAAATCGTCTTGAGGCGATTTTTATCGGCATGGCTTGATTTATGGACGTGAGTTTTGCTATCGTTCACCCAAAAGTCCTCTGTACAGTAGGATATAGACACTCGACTGCAGGCTGAGTCTCGCCACGATTTCTTCCTTGAAAATTAGACTGACTTTGGTTGATCATATCTCCCGTTCATTTTATCGATTCCACTTGTTATAACATTGTTGGAACAAGGTCTTAGCTTACTTCCTGTAGTTGGTCAGTCTGGTTAGTTACCATTTCCTGCACCGGGCCCCAGTAGGGCAGTGTAGATCGACTTGCACGTGTGTAATATTTATTATTATCATAATATCCTTTTAACGACGTCTGTCAGAGAGGCCGCCTGTCAGGTGAGGAAGTACAGTAGGCTCACCCAGGAAGTATAGCAGGCGTTTCGTCATCGTGGCATATCTTCACATTATGTCGATATAAACATGTATGTGGTACACACAAGGTTGGACTCTATTCTTGCTCGCTTTATACACACAATTCAATCCAATCCAATTCAATTCCTTACCAACAGACATACAATATAGAATTAGGACTCCATTCTTGTTCGCTTTAGTTATTTCATATTGTGAGTTTGAGACGGTATTTGTTGTTCGACTATACATGGTGCATGAGATGTAATAATCACGATCCTTGCTGTTTTGATTAAATCAACAACATTTTGTTGTACTTGTATTTCCCCTCTTACACCGGTCACCACATAGCAGTTGTTTTCTATTTCAGTTAGCGCTGTGTTCGGTCAGTAAGCGTTTCGTTAAAATAAAGCGTTTCGTCAACCGCGTCTCATTGTGTCAACTAGTTTTGAAATTGTAACGTTATCCGTGGCAGTGCGCGGTGAAAAAGTGACTTAGGGGTTTCGATGGTCACATTTCTAGTAATCTGCTGCAAAATGTTATTAAGTAGTTAAAATGTTAGTAGTTTAAACTACTAACATTGCTGGAAAGTGCAAAAAGTGGCGTCTTTGGGTTGAAAATTGATTTTGGGCTCGAGGCTTACTTCCGGCCCGTCCTTCCGCCTTGAGTGCGGTGCTTCGGTTTGACCCAGATATGCCTTTTATGTGTTTTGGGGGTTCTGTCGCTATGTGTCGCGCGACGGGCTATTGTGATAATCTCAGTGTTAGGATTTTCTGTATATTTTTCTTGATCATACATTCTCTTTCGACAGTATAAGTCATTTTGGTGGCTAAATTATTGGTGATGGGTTTAATTGCACGTAAAAATGCCCAATTTTTGGCATCATTTTTTTTTCATCGAAAATTCTTTTTTGCCCTAAAATTTGCTACAATTTGAGAGGTTATGGAAACTGAAATTCGATTGTTCTCGTAGCTAGAGGGATATCCTTCATTTGCAAACAGTGTTTCGGCTTAAGAATTATTTCCTGAAATAGAGTTGAGGGTGTGCACAATCGAATTGTGACCCAACATAAACTGGGGTGTGCCCCCTTATATGCGTTTGTGTCGGCATACGCCGTCGCCCACGCGGCCTACTTTTAATGTTATTACTGATCCAATTGATCATTATGACATATTGATGGGCACTAAGCAAGTACGTATTCTTAAGTTGCTTTACCACACCTGTTATCTTTCATCATTTTAGTGTAGGTCATAATTTTGTTTACGTAAAGTTTCAGCAACTTGCCATGTTCCACCGTAAGTTTCCGGGGTGTCTATCCTGACACATATTTACAAATGGAAGCCAATCCTATTTATTTCTCTGGGAACGGCTTCAATTTATTCATTCTTTTTCTCTCTTTGTCCCCGCAGGTGAGCTACGCCATGCCCATGCCCACTCCCGGGCTACAGAAGGAATTCACTGGTGAGATGGACAAACATCTGTTATCTTTTATCATGTAAGAGGGCGTCGGAATTTTGTTTACGTAAAGTTTTAACCACCTTACATGTTCCTCCAGGATTTCCAACCCTTACGTACAAGTAATATCCTCTCCCCTCTGATAAGACTTACCTGTCCAGATTGATTATTATATCAACAACGTGCCAGTATTTTCCTATCCTACATCAGGCCCTGAGTCCTGCAGCCTTTTCTCAGGTCAAATTCTTTACAACAGTACCTGAGGCTGGGTAGAAACTCCAATCGGGAAGAAGTCTATTGCTATGATATAATAACATATCCTAAATGTTAAACATTCAATGAAATTGCTGGTAGCTGCCGGTATAATTTAAATAGTTTGTGATTGTCGTAAAACCTAAATAGCATGTATTTCTGTACAGTAAAATGTAATGATTGTAACAGCTGAGACTCTGATCAGAATATCTACCGGCAGAGATTCCAATCGGTGTTCCCTTTGAGTCTCTTGAAAGGCAGAAGTGGCATAAATTTATTCATTCTCTTTCTCACTGTGTGCCCACAGCGAGTGCCCCTCATTCACTCGACATTCACTGACAAGATGGACTAACAGTACCATTTACAGAAGAACAAAAACAGCGGTAAGTCTACACAATATATTTGCCGTTTCTGTTGATCTGGGGAACATGTAGTTCATGTGTTATTGTACTGTAACATCGTTCTTGATGAATGAACATACATATGACTTTCAACCTTTGTTTAGTTTGATGTGCGCATCATTGCATTCTGTAAAATGTATTGACTCACATGCTTTGCATATTTACATTTACTTCTAAAAACATGACCCTAAATCTTGTTAATTTAAGAGCAAAGCTAGGGAAAGGTTGGCATAGATTCATTTATGTTCTGTTTTCTCTTGCTGATCACAGGTAAACTTCGCCAAGTCCATCCTGAGATGCAGACTACAGCAGGAATTCACGACGCCAAGTTGTGGAAGGATCGGGGTGTGCATGCGAGTTTTTCACGCAAGAAAAATAAGCATTGAATGCAGCAGCATCGTAGCCTGGGTGCCATCCGAATTTGTAACGGCTACGGGCAAATTCGGATGGCACCCAGGCTAGCAGCACCGTGAAAGCAAAAAAATCCAAGAATGAAAAAAAGCAATACTGACGCAAACACCCACACAAATGAATAAAATCCCTTACACAAAACATCACTATCATCACATAGTTAAGACAAAGGCTAGACCTGTTCCCCCTGTCCAATTACATACTTTGTAATGAAGCTGAAATAAATAAATAAAATAAATATCGTAGAAACACTGTACAGACTACTGCATGTCTCATGCCACAAGCCTATGTGTAAAGGCTGGCCCCACTACTCTCCAAGCAGAGGTTGGTGGGGATGATCGTTAGCGGGGGTAACGATCTTCCCCTCCAACCTCTGCTTGGAGAATAAGTCCCACAAGGTATAGCCAAAAAGCAATTCCCTAGGGAATGCATTGGCGGAATTCTTAGAATATTTTCAACTCAATCGCAGTACTATACCAACGGCTCCGCCCCTGAGGCGTCGCCAAAAAATTTATAGACCGACAGTTCAAAACTTTCACTTCGCGCGCTACAAAATCCACGCCGCGAACTATGACCTCACATACCCGGAGTACCCGGATGTACGCCGAATCGATTCGGACCCGCACGTTGATGATTGCAATGCGGACAACGCGAAACATTTCTGATTTCTGTACCGCTTCAGACCACCTCGCGAGGCGGTTCAGAATAAATCGCAACGGAACCGGTTTGGAGCGTTCATGTTCTGAGATATATCGATTTATTTCTTTGATTCGATTTGATTCGGTACAGATATACAATAATGAACGGGGCCTAATGGCCCCTCCTCGCAGAGCTTGTGTAGTCTCCATGGATCCACCAGACTTCTTTTGCGGGGTGAATAAATAAAAGGCTTGGCGGGGAAATGAAGCTTCTCTGGCCGGCTCACCTTCTCTTGCCAGTTAATATCCTTTTTAGGCCGATTTCTACGATTTATTCAGCCCGCAAAAGAAGTTTGGTGGAGACATCCAGCCGGCCCCCGAGGGGCCACTAAAGCCGCGGACGGCAGAGTTTGAGTTACACAGACTATGGCTAGATGAACTCATTAGCCCATGCCCGTAGCCAAGAGGTTCGGGGGTTCGGAAGAACCCCCCCACAAGGCTCAAAGGTCCACTTTTTGGTCCACTTTTTATGTAAACGTCCACTTTTTGGTCCACTTTTAATGTAAAGGTCCACTTTTTGGTCCACTTTTTATGTAAAGGTCCAAGAGTTTTCTTGAAAAGATGGACTGTAATCGTAGAAAAACTGCTCCCTTTGTCATTGAATAAAAACTTATCTCCGATTTTTTTCTTTGAAATCCTCTCAAAAACGCACGAAATGCCATTTTAGACGGTTCATTTTTAAAATTTTCCGGGGGAGCATGCCCCCGGACCCCCCTAGGAACCTCGCGCCTTCGGCGCTCGAGGTCCCCTCAAGCAGTCGGAAGCCCCCCCATTCAAAATCCTGGCTACGGGCATGTTAGCGTAATTAGCAACAACGTGTTAACTTTTGTACACAAAAACAATGTGTAATTAAAGACCTTTGTGGCAAACTGTTTGATCCTATTGATCCTGAAAATTTGAAGATTGTAGCATGGAAAGTTTAAGAGTTACAATAAAATGTATGTCAAATATTGTTGATTTACGGTCTCTTTTGGTGCTATGACTAATTAGCTTATTCCCATAGAACCAAATAAGCATCTTTTGATGAAACCGTCAAAATTGTAAACTTTAAAAAATTCTAGAAAATCTCACCTTTTTATCATGGCGAAAGGAAGAATTCTGACCGGAAGAATCTACTCTGTAACATAGAATTATTTTTAAGAATCCTTGGCGCCCCCTATTTTTAGTGTGACATCCCTACTTATATGCAAAGATCTGACCAAAATACAATAATGAAAAGGCTTTTTGGAATGAAAATTAAGTACGCGTAGCTTTAAGAATCACTGGACAAGGGGGGAAGAAACCTAGGCGAAAAAAAATCTGTTTTTTTCTCTCACCCCCACAACAGTAATGTGGTCACCCGTGCTAGAAACTCTGGTGAGAGATTTGACAGTGTTACCGCGTGCACTGAAAACATATATATAGGCATTTAGAAATGATAGGGGTTTTGAAAACACCACTTTCTGTGAACCATATATGTTTTCATATGATAGGAGTTTTGGAAACACCACTTTTTGTGAACAATATGTTTTCATATGATAGGGGTTTTGGAAACACCACTTTTTGTGAACATGTGTTTTCATATCATAGGGGTTTTAGAAACACCACTTTTTGTAAACAATATATGTTTTCATATGATAGGGGTTTTGAAAACACCACTTTTGTGAACAATATATGTTTTGGAATTATATGTATTTAAGATATATATATATTGTTTTGAAATACATGTATGTATATATATTTTCTTCTTAAGCATATATGTTTTACAATTGTATGTATTTACTATACATATATTGTTTTGAAAAGTATATATATATATTCTTATTAAACATGTATGTTTTACAATTGTATGTATTTTAAATATATATATCGTATTTTTGACAGTGTTCCTGCTTCGTACAAAACGTCCCCATCATGTACTACATGATATGTACATGTTTTACTTCCGGGTACAGAAGCATTGGTTTGCCTTGGTTGTCTAAGGGTTTATGTGTATGCCTGTCCAGACAGGGTAGGTTGACAGCATGTGGGTTGGAGAAAATTGAAAGCTAGAATGACAGTCAAAATATTAGACAGAGGATCATGGGACCTTTAAGTCCATGGGGTGGACTTAAAGGTCCCATAGTCCGATTGGAGCCAACAGAATAAGAGGTCGATAATATGCGGGGATTCAGGAACTTTTGAACTTGAAAGTTTGCATGAGCCGTCCCTTCAACCCGGCTTCACAACTTCTGTCTTTTGTTCTTTGTTAAACCGCCCATGTTACACATTCACAACCTTCCCTCGCACACCAGCCCAGCTGACCAACCTATTTGACTGACGTTCGTGGAGCACTCTGACCAGACTTAGGCCACGCCTACCTTTCTATATGAATAGAATCAAACTTGAACTAAATATGGAATATGTGCCACAAACGGCACATGGAACATGTGCCACAAACACACCCCAACCTACTCCCGAACACCGTTCAATCACCAGCTTACGAATCTTCCGTCAACACTCGAATATTTTAAATATTCTGAAACAGTAGGTGACCTAGCCGGTCGAAATTCAACCGTCCTTGCCTCCGACCTATTATGTTTGGGAATTCGGCAGTGCTTGGGAATTGCCATGTTCGGGTATATGTGACGGGGGCTTACTTAATGTCTCTACACTAAATTGCACTACTGCAGTCACCTTGAGAAGTCAATCGCGCCGGTTAAGAAACATGATAGTTCATCCATTGTGTTAGAAAGGCGTGGCATGGCACGCAAAGAAACGAACTTTGTTCATTCTAGGTTCATATATGTGTGCGGTCGCAGTCGCCATGACGGCGGCGCAAATGTTGACAACACATGGCACGTTGCTTGGTAACGGATGGTATATATTTCAGCGTTACCTGCCCTGCGCGACGACTACAACTTGGACTCTCAAACTGGTGCGTAGGTTGTGCTTATTTCCTCTTGCTGCCATTCTTCTTTTCTCTCAGTTGACGTTTGGGTTGGTTTTCAAAGGGTTCTTTCGAGTAGATCTCATAGCACTGTTGAGTTCATACAACTAGATTGTGTCCATTTAAACTTCGCGTGACCAATACCACGCCCCATTCAACAAAGGATTTAGCCTGTGTTTTGCGTCAAATTTGAGATCATGGTAGGTTTATGAACACACGGCGTCTGGTACAATGATCACGGCTGTTATATTCTCCCCAAATCTATATTAGAAGTTTTAGGACAGACCTTTGGGAATTAAGTGAATTGGTTCTCATTCACTACCCATGTTGTTTCAGGACATTCGTTCCTTAAATGGTAAACCAACATGGCGGATATTGGCGGATACATTGTTACCCAGGTAAGAGAAATTGACATCTAATCTGACATCCTTAGTATATAGGTGGTTTTGACCAATAAAAAAAGGCACAGTAATATACTGACTATACCGAGCTTTGAACTGTTCTTTAAATATTTTTGATTAATTCCATATTTTTGATTTTCATGATAGGGAACCTTTCGTAGAAATATGATATTATACGGTCATACGGTGGTATTACCTGGGATAATGTGTAGTTTACGGCCCAACTTTTAACTTTGTCTGCTCGTCGCGCTAGTTGTGCAACGACGCCATTTTACGTGCGCGGGCATGTGGCGATTAAACCGCTCGGTGATTATTCAACCGTTATGAACGATATCTACGATATCTACGATCGTAACGGTTATCAACGGTCGAGAATTAACACGGTCGAGAATCAACACGATCGAAATAGACACGGTCGAAATAGACACGATCGAAATAGACACGGTCGAAATAGACACGGTCGAAATAGACACGGTCGAAATAGACACGGTCGAAATAGACACGGTCGAAATAGACACGGTCGAAATAGACACGGTCGAGGATTATGTGTATTGTGTATGTGT